ATGCCCTCAAAAGAAATTTGCATTCTGGTTCAGAACATAATCCTCCCTCTTCCTTGTGGTGTTTTGGTTTTAAAATACCACTGATTCTTTGAGAACATAGCAGACAGACCTGCTGAAGGAATAAATTATTTAAGGAATAAATTTCTGCCTTTCCAGAAATCTTGGACAACCAGACACAATTTTAATAAAGACATCACAGATGCTGATTTTGACAAATTGAGTTCTAAAACAATCTTTTTTTAAAATTCTGAGTGATCTGACCTGCTACTGAGCTGGTCAGAACTGAGAATTTCATACAATGTGTAACAGCTGTTGGATCTTCAGAAATCCCCACTATGTGCATCATCATTTTTTCCCAACCGGTACTTTTGGACAGCAAATAAAAATAATTGATGAGGAGCGATCCAAATCACAAGAGAACTTGGTATTACCTGACTCTGACCTGCAGGTTTGTATGTGGAGATGGAGCGGTACCGTTCAGAACTGCAAGGGTGCATCAGACAGGAGATGTTCAAGGCTGACCTGGAATTTGAAAATCCATCTCCACACAGGACTGTTCAGAATCAAGAGTTCTCATGAATCCGAAATGAATGGATTTTCTCAAGGAATCATTACACTTTGTTTGCCTCTGCTCACAGAGCATGTTTAGTCTGAGCAGGAAGCACAAACCCACTGAATTTCTCCTTTTCTGGCTTACAGGAATTCAAGTGCAGTTCAGGTTCTGTACTATTTCTGTACAAGCATAAACCTTAACAAGAGAACTAAGTATGTAAAATAAGAGATAGAAAGAAGGCTGTTTCTCAAAGAAAGCGTAAGTCTTCAGTCTGTGCTTGTGAAGTTAAAACGAGAAGCAGACAACCCCCTGCACGGTTTCTCAAAAATAATAGAACTGCTGTGACAGAGTTGGGCCGTTTCCAACAAATCTTGTAGCCCCTCTACGGCTGGGAAGAGAATTGCAAATAAGGGATAGGTTAAACAAATCCAGAAGCTATTTTGGGAGACGGGAAAAGGAGGAAGCCCATTGAAAACGAGCCAATTGACAAAAAATGTTGTTGGGGGAGTGAGGTTTACAGCCAAAGCTCGCAGCGGAATCGGCGCCCTGTGCAACACGGCTTGGTGCTCGTAACCGCACCTTCTGACAGACAGAGGCTACGCCACACACAGAGGCAGGGTCCCGTTTAATAGTCAGTCCCCTGGGGAGGTGGGGGCGGAGATCAGCTACATCACCAAGCTAGCTTTTCGGAAGCAGGACATCTGTTTTCCAAACAGAAATACGAGCCTTTCAACACAGCTGCACCAGGTACAGTGGTGGAGCAAAGCTCCATCGAAGTCAGCGCAAATTTCTTTAAATAGTCACTGACATAGTGAGAAATACTTGCCACGCTGCATCACAAACGGTAACTGGGACAGCCAGTGATTTGGTGGCCGCTTTTGCCGCTCTGGCACAGCAGAGTCCCCTCCCCGGGCGGCCCTTTGCCGACGTGGACACCAGGCCCTTGCACAACTGCCACGCCGGTGCTGGGTTGCCTGAGCGTGCGCTGCTCCGCGCAGGAGGAACTCTGCCCCCCGGCCCCCCCAAACCCAAACCAACCCTCAGGCTTTCTTGAGGAGGATTTTTTTGAGGAGGATGTTTGGAGGAGGCACTGCACAGCTTGGGTAGCTGCAAGCACTGTACACGCTTGCGTGGACGCCAATGAAAACTATTCCTTCCTGACAGAGGGAACTCCAAAACTAGCTGGGAAACCACGTCTGAGTCATGGAGAAATTAGAGATTTCTGCATGTAGTTATGTCTATGACGTAGTTATGTCTGGTGGGCTGAACACAGACTGGCAAGAATTGTCTCAGAATAATCCAAAAAAAGATTCCCTGGACGCCTTACAGGTGCCCCGGGCGTAATTTGAGCATTGTGAGCACCATGAGAAAGGGATCAACGAAGTGTATGCGCGCTCTAAGATAAAAACTTACAAGTTTCATTTTGGAAGGGTCCAGACTGAATTCTTAAAACATTTATTTTAAATAAATGAAATATGAAAATACTATGAATTTATTTGTATATAACAATAACACTTTAATATTTAGTCAAGGAACCATGAAATCTAAAAACTCACTACTTACATTAAGAACTCACCCATTACAACTCAGTACTTTAACGATAGGATGACAAACTCTGTGAGGGATATGGAAACGCTTGTATGACTACGGTGTGGCTCTTCGTTGAGTGGAAGCAAACTAGGATCTAGGACCTGTGCCTCGGGCCCTCGCTATTTCTAGGGCGTGAGACTTCAGGAGTGTTGGGCACGTAACAAAAGCCTGAGGTTCTCGTCTGAATCCAGCGTGCCCCGCACCCGCCCGGGCTGGGCGCTAAGACACGTCAGCCGCACAGCCAGGGCCCGCTCCGCCCATCCCTTCGCTACCCCCGAACACGGCGGGCGCCTGCATTCAGGCAGAACGTCCTGAGGTTTAACTGGCGCCAGACTCGGTGACAAACTTTTTCCTCATGAGCCACAGACACATTTAAGAACTGTTTCAGTGCTACAAGGTATTTCGTGTTAGAGCTAATGTTTAGCACAACCTAATTATTCCACAGTAACAATATTCTCACTAGTGACACCACAACAGCAAAACAAAGGCCAAAGTTTGACTCAGATTTTAAAATTTTAAATAGCTTTTTTAAGGGCCACACCTTGCTAAAATACTTATGCTGAGTATTGCCCATGCCTACCTTTATACATGTTACAGTTGTTAATATAAGCAATAAAGAACCTCAAAAAAATACAAAAGGGCATTACTGAATCATTTAAAAAAATACTTATTTATAATTAAAATTTTGTCAAAAACTATTGTGATCTTTTATAGCTGCAGATAATGAAAATACTCAAGAATTATTCTGCAATTTTACAGTACCGAAGTGGAAGATTAAAAATAATAATTTCATTCTTATTTATTTAGATTGTGGAAGTGTCTGTGTGTTCTTAGAAAGTACAATATGGCTAGTGTTAATTCTGAAAGCCTGACAATATTCCTTTGTTGGGTAAGCTACCGCAACAAGTTTCCACGTACAGAACCTGTACTCAAAGGGAGAAAGCACTAAGAATAAAAAAATTCAATCGTTACAGTTATGTATGTAAAAACACAGCCACACAGTGAAAAAAATACAACAAAGCTATGTCAACACAAAGGAGTAGAATTCTGCCACGGCATCAATTACTGTGCTGCAGCACTTTAAAAAAACAAAACAAAACAAAACCCATTTTTTCTTTAATGTATAAAAATCCCTATCTTGGTAGTGCTGTTGCCAGTGATGTGGCTGATGTTGGTGGAACTGCGCCTGCTGCTCAGAGGCTGCGCACTGCACCGACCACAGCTGCAGCCTCGGGCTGTCTACTCCAGACGGCTGAAAACCATCAGCTCACGCCACGCATAGCTAAAGGGAATTTGTTTCCCCAAAATAAACACGACTACCTTTTTCATTTGCAGCAAGTAATCTGAATGTTTGTGATAGGCAAAACAAAACTAGGTATTACTCTGGGTGGCACAGAAGGGGAAAATTCAACTCTTAACTAATGAGAATCTTACTCAATTTATTCGACAATCTATAATTAATTCTGTAAGTGTATATTATATTATCGCCAACAGATCCCATCAAGGAGCAGGTATGCACATCACACAATATAGCAATGGTCCAAATCCTCTCAACTAAGACAACTTTCGACTTCAGGTTTTTGTTGTTCAATTATAATTTCTTTCTGATAATTTTATTCCAACAAATACCAAGCACATTGAAATAAAAAACTTTCTTTGCCATTGGGAAAGCTACATGACCAGGAAATACTGTGTTTATGAACAGTTAACTGTTTGCATTACTTACTAAGTCAGATGCTTTACTATAAACAGCATCAGAAATGGCTAACAGACAACCTCAGTTTAGACTGCACCTGTATTAAATTCTTGTTTTTATCATTCAGGACTTTCCTCCTGATGTATTTTTAACTCTTTCTCCTAGTAACATCTGACCTGTCACACAACACCTCTATTCTAAAGCGTGAGATTCCCACTGTCAAAGCTGGTCCTGGCCCTGAGAAATACTGTATTTCATTGTTTGTTACAAGAACGTCCTCCTTCCAGAGCTGCAGAGGAGTGACTTCTGCTGTTTCTACTTCTCCCTATTCTAACAATACCTATCTTAGCCCGAGAGGTGGCTTTTTGTACAGTGAAGAAAACACCATTAACAGTGAAAACCCAAAGGGGCCAAAAAATTTCTGTTCAGAAGAACTCCTGTGGTGAAACAGCAAAAAGGCATCTCCCATAGGAACACTTACTAACTAGATTTTGAGGAGTTATTAATCATTTCAGTTTCTTTTGTACAAGAAAATATTTTGGAATACCGTTACTATTCCTCACAAATGGAGTAACGTATGAAGAATTCTGCAAGCTAGTTTCATAAAAACAGCCTCCTACCGTAAATTAAATTTGTAAAAGAAAAGAAACATAACCAAAAGGAAGATTTACTTATTGAGGAACACCTGTTATAAAGACATTTGAAAACACAGCAGGGTTTAACGGTTCCCTGAAAAGTTCAGCTGTTTTAGATTTTTTTCTGTCTGCAAATATGCTGCTTTTCTTACTCTCTAGGAAGGCGAACTGCTTATGAAAGGCTGTGGCAATGCAGTAGAAGCAAATGCTTCTGAAAGCTTTCAATAGCATTTTTTCAATTTACAAAATGTGAAAACATCTTTCAATTAGTAAAAAAAATAGTCTAATATACAAACATTTTTTAAAAAATTCATTTGTGAAGGAATGTAGCGTAATTACCCAAACTCATACCCATTCACTCCTCAGATACTGGCAGCTATCTCCTTGACACAAACCTCTAACCCAGAGAAATGCATATGTGGCCAGTTAGCCCAAGCAGAATATAGTCATTCAGCTTTCCCCAGATTTAAACTATCATAAATTACCATTTGGACAGCATTAGAAAGAAATTGAAGCATACAAGGAATAAACTATAGTTTCTTTTTATATCAAAATGTACTCTTGAAAATGTGTTTGGCACAGTGCTAAATCATATAGTTAATACTAAATATTGCAGGATACAATAAAACCCTGGAGTTAACTTTTGTTTACACCCTTTAAGGGATAAAAATAAAAAGATACCAATTATTCAGAAGTCAGCCTATACAAACTGTATAAACAATATTTCATGTCTTGTTTTGAAAACCACTGATAGTAAATTTTACATAAAAGACTGCAAAATAATATAAATGGATTTAAACAGATTTTTACAATAAGAAATTCAAATGGAAACAGACAAGTAACAAAGAGAAGTAAAAAAATTTATTGCAGTATTCGTTCCACCAGATTTGCTGGGGATCCCTTTTCTTGTATTATTTCAGGGTGACCTAATACATCAAAATCTACATTTACAAAAACTCCTCCTGCAGATAGGTCATAGATACTGCATGCTTTTTTTTGTTTTTTTTTTTTTTTTTTTTTCTTCAACAGAATAAATTATATATCCAGGAGATTCTGCCATTTTACAGCCTGGAAAAACAATGCTTCCCTGGAAACTGGGCTAAGCTAAAGAAAGCCATCCGCTGCTAGGTTAAACTCCAAGAACACTTTATTAAGAACATTAACAGACTAATTTCCAACATTCACTTGTTTATTTTTTTTAAACAGAAAGTTTTTTTTTCAAGATATAAACAATTTTTTTGTTAAACTATAATACAGTGGGAGTAAAAATGAACTGAGAAGTTTCTGCTGCACAACAGCGAAGGAAGCTCCCACAAAAATGTTTACCAAACATTTCCTTCTTTTTTCCCGCGTCCCAGGTTCCATTCTTACTCTTCATTTAACTGATTTTTTTTTTTTGCCAGAAAGTTGGTATTTCAAGTTTTTCTGTTATTTCAATTCCTGTAAATTTGGCTGCATGTACAAATTCATTAGCTGGAAGTTCCATCCTTGGCGGCATACAGCGATCGTAAAGTCTGCACAACTTTATTAGTCAGCTTATTAGCACTCGTTAGAGCAATTTTTTTGTAAATAATGTCTGACTCTTTAATAGTGTCTACCCAAGGCACCAGTTTGCGGCCATCACGGCGCTTAGCCTCAGTCCAGGAGCCACTGTAGGAGCCTGCCATCCACTGAACACTGAAGCCATTGCTGGTTTTCTGTACTACTCTTGCAATTTGTGGTCGGTCTTTGTACTTTGGACAGCAAATAGCGATGACATCCATGACATCAACACTTTCATTCATCTGTGCTGCCAACTCCGTAGAGTCTGAATTTCGTTTTGACCTTCTCAATGACTAAAACATTGGGGGGAAAAAAGACCAAGTGTTACACAAAAGAACTTTAGTGAAATTATTGCTTTTATTGCTTTTAATCCCTTGACGCCGGGAGTTGGGATTTCCCGGCACACATTCCATTGCCGGCAATGAGACGCACCGCGACCGCCAGCGCCAAGGGGTTAACATATCCTTGTAAAACCACATACTCTTAATTTGTACCCGTGTCTTTATCTCTTATTGATATATAAAATTATATATACACATGAATCATAAAGCTACATAAAAACTTGGCAACAATAAAAAGGATAACACACAGTACATTCCAAAGGAAAATTAATAACTTTTTATACGGGATAGATCTCATTTTCTAGTTTGGTTTTTTTTATTGTCTTTTCTGTTAAACTTTCTACAAAAGTTGTATAAACGGTTAAGTAGAGAATCTCTATCTACAAAATGCTTTCTTTCATGTGGATTACATTACTTGGTGTACATTTAATATAATAGACTGACATTTATAAGCACATAAAAATCATTTTACGTAATACGCTGCGAAATACGTTGACTCCTCCTCCGCCTCACCCCTGAAGTGCCTCCTCCTCTATCCTCCCCATCACTTTCATCGTCCTCTGTCTCAGCTGCATTGTTTTTAGGGCTGCCTCCTCCAAGCAGCGAGGTAATTGCTTTGTTCCGAGCATTTGTGCTAGCTGACACCTCTCCATCTTCTTCCTCTTCATCAGGATCCAAATGTTCCATAAGGAGCTTGAACTATTAAAACAACAGATTAGTCCACATTGTTACTTTACAGATAGATGTTTATATCACATACATTAAATAAAAAACAAATGGCAAAGTAAAGAAACAGGGTAAAACCAATGGCAGACAACTTCAAACTTGAACAGCTTGTGTTTTGTTCTATAAACTTTTTACTTTCCCCTTTTTTTTTTTAGCAGATATGTAAAAGCTTTCTTCATGTGCTTCCGAAATGGCAAGTTTTCTCTAACTGGTATTTCAAGATTGGGGGAGAGGGAAGTAAATACACTAGGTCTAGTCTCTGTTCCTATGATGGAAAGAGTCAGGGATAAAGTGAACAAGTTATATGGGAGAAATATACAAGATGGACAATAGAAATTAGAAAATACTCCATAAAGATGAATATCCTTTAGTTTTAAATTAATTTTCATTGTGTTTAAACTTCTTAGAAGTCTTTGAAAGGTAGTCCTGCTAAACATCCTGAAAGGAAGTGGTGAGTTATCAGTATACTGTGAAGATTACCATGAACTTAACATTCTGAAATGTTAATCCAATACATCAGCATCTACTTTCAAGTTTACACTGTGTTACCTAGTTTAAAGAATTTCAGGTTTTCTGCAAAGCAACTTTACTTACATCTAAGTACTGTTTTACTATACTCCTCTTCACTTCTTCAGTGATCTTGGAATTAGCCATATCACTCCGCAGAAAATCCAGAGTTTGTTTTGGATGGAAATGCACTCCTGTCTTCCTGTTTATCGCTTTATCATAAACTTTTGCAGATTCAGATGGAGAATATTTCTGAATTTTACTGTTTAAAGAAAACAAAAGGGAACAGCTTTTAAGGAAACTCCGAAGCAGTTTCAAGGAAAAGCTTTTAAAATCTTCAGTGCAAGTAGTTATATTTTAATAATTCTATATAGAATAGACATCCTGGTAAGAAATGAAATCACTGCTTTTTCTAAGCTACTTTCATTACAGTCAACTTATCACATTTATGTTTTCTTCTCTTACACAAATCTATCGCTTAAACAATTAGTTACAATCAACTTTTTAAAAGAACTTCTGAACTTAATGCTTACAAAGAACTGACTAGATAACAAGATGGCCTCTTATCTAAATACCCTTACCTATCAGAGAATCCACAGAGGTTCTTTAAATGCTGTTTCAGCATCAGAAGTAATAATATGCCTTGGGAGACATTTGCAAATTCAATTAAAGGAGCTGAATTTTCTGGCAAACATTTCATCACAGCATTTATATCATTTTCTTCATCGGAATCCGAATCAGAGTCTACTCGTTTCCGTAACCTCCGAGGCTTAGAAGCTTCCTCCTCACTTTCGCTCTCACTGCCGCTGTTACTGTCACTCTCAGTCTCCTCATCTGATGAAGGTTTTCTTTCCTTTTTTTTGTCTTTCACCATAGACTGCAAGAAAGTTAACACACATTCCAAAATTAGAGTAAGTAGCATCATGTATATTTCTACAAAATCTTTCCAAAATCATTACTAGCTTAAATTAGCAAGAATTCCCTCAACACTGTTCACTGTTATTAACTTACAACTCCATAAGGAAAACGAAAATTATTTATGGCAAAAAGATGCTGAGAAATTGATCCAAAGCCTACATTTTTTACAAGATGGGTACAGAAGAAACTGAAGCAACAAGTACTCCACTGGCATGCCTAAGAGACTGTTCACGTTCATTAGCAGTGACAGCAAAATGCAGCAGAAGGCCAGATTTCTCTTCCACCTGGATATAATTTCTGTGTATCACACAGATTTCCATATCTACTTGGTACTGGTACAGACTACTCCAAGCTGGTTTTAACTCTTGTCTCTTAAAATTCTATGACACTGATTACACTGCTGACCAGAGAAACCCCCAAGCGACCCCCCAAGCGACAAGACACAGTATTAATAATTTCTACTACTTATAAGACCTATAGAATTTCATATGTGCATTATTACTGCACATAATATGATTTTTCACAGCACAGAAATATATAAAGATATCATGAGCAGGATCTCATCCTTTCTGTGCTGGGTTCTGCACACTGGTCCCTAATCTGAAGAGTGGACTGTCTTTCCAGCAAATTAAACATCTGCTTTGGTAGGGTGAGAATTCAAAGCAGTGTACTTTCCAGGTATCAACTCTGACTTGTACTTACTAGTCAGATTGGACATTCTATAAATGTGTTTGCTTCCTGACAGTTTGCACCTTCTACTGTTAAAGTTGTCCAGGAAATGAAGACACTAAAGTCTTTCAGAAGCAGAGGCCTTTTTCTTACAGGGTTGTGTATTGCCATAACAGATACTACACCATGATTCAGGTTCTTCTACGCTACCTTAAGTAAAGACATTGTGCACTCTTTTCTTGCAAGAAGCAATGTATTTAAAGTTTCTCAGGCGACACACACGCAACAACCATCAGCCACTTGACAACAAAATAAACGGACAGCTGCATTTTATTACTAAAATTATAAAAACAACCACAATAAACTAGAATTTCATGATGATTCTGGGTTCATATGCTTCCAGATGCATGCAATTAATTATCATTAAGCCATACCAGGGAATAATATAGATTTAAGATTTCAAAATTCTTCTTTTTTTTAATAATGTAAGCAACAATGTAAGGGAAGTTTTTAACCAGTGTCTACCAGATGCAGGCCAGCACAGAAAGGGTTGCTTGTTTTTAACTACTGGTTACAAAGTAATGCTATTGGTCCATATCATAATAATGGTACTGTATTCACTAAAAAAGTCGACCAAATAACAGAAGCTTATGTTGCCACCACAAAAAATATACTAAACTATAAATGCACATACCTCTTTAAATGACTGTAGTAGGTTGCTACCAGAAACTGATAGTGTAATGTCTATATGATGCATTATAAACAGTGGCTCTTCTTGTGTTTGATATGGAAAACAGGCTAGATTGTCCGCTATATACAAGAGCATATTCACCTCTGTTTTCTGGAAGTTAAAAAAAAAAAAAAGTATGTATAAATACACAAATATCTTAGATTTATACACTTCTCCTGTCTTCCTAACAGTCTAGTGCAAAAGCACGATCACAAATTTTATTCTGTGTAAGTCCCCAAATCCACTCTAAACAACATGTGTATACGCAAAATTTAGTCATACCTCAAGATACATGATTTCTGATCAGTTCAAACTAGGTACAGAAAGGTCCACAATGATGAAAAAGTAACAAATGCATTCTAGTATATAGGTAATATCATACAGGTAAATATCTGACATTACAAAGCAAAATTAAGAACATTAGGGAAACAAAGTTATCAATAATTATGTCAAAAATACATTTTAAAAAGAGAATATAGCTTGTAATGCTGTATTTTAATAAGCTTATAATACTACATTTTAATTTCCTTTGAAGTGAAGGAAATGTGATGCTTACTGCAGTATCATCAAAGAGGTTGAGTAAAGAAATTAGAAACGCTCGTCTGTGTTGACGGTTCCCTCGGATCATGGAGTATAGGTGTGAACACAATGCACTGGATGATTCATCGTGTCTAAAACCTCTTACAGGATCTTTTGGGCAGGTATTAATTGCCTGTTGTACCTGGTAAGACATCTTCATACCAGCCACTGCTTTCATCTGAAATGGAAATATATTTATTTTTATTTAAACCATTGTCTTCAAAGCAGTAAAACGTGTTCCTTTTAAGTGGATGGTCATCTGAAGTTTAACTTTTAAACACGCACTGAGGAGACACTATCTTTTGAGTTGGCAAACAGATTAAAACAGAACTTGTGGTAGAGACCAGAATGCCTTGTGAAGTGCTTTCATTGTAAATTCTGTTAGAAACATAGAGCTAATCTGCTTACCCACTATAGCCAGGTATTCCAATTTAAACAACTTTCAAGAATACTGAAATGTTTTCATACATGAATAGAGTATTTTACCAAATGTGTATGCTTGACGTCACTTGTAGTGAAACAAAAAATTGAGTCCATATTAGTACACTAGGACTAACAAACAGAAAATGAGAGGATTTTGCATATATCCTGTACTTTCCAGCTGAGTTTACATACTTTAAGGCTCCTGCTCTAGTTTCAGAACAAACCGAATCTCTAGTTAGGCTGTATATCCAACTCTCTGCATACCACTTCTGCTGCCTTCAGCATAGCTGTCTCTTCATCTATACACTGGCTGCCCACATAGCAAATTTAATCTGCTAGCCTTCACCTACTGGATCACATATCTGTTTGGATGCCATCAACAGTTCAATGCTCCAACTGCAGTGGAATACAAGCAGATATGAGAAGTCCCACAACGTAGTACACACACTGAACATAGACTGGGGCCTTTTGAAACAAAGAGAGGGTGCTGCAGCTCAATTTCAGATCTTAAGCAGAATTACTGGTACTATGCCACCATTCCTTAAGTCCTCACATTGCCCTCAGATCTTCCTTTCCGTAAGAACCCTTAGATCTAAACAGCTTCCTATGCTCCCTCTGCTTAGATTACAATTTGTAAAGCCTTGATACCTTAAAGTTTTAATACATATACACTATGGACTTCTACTTTTACAAGGTGTTCTCTTCCCTAGTCCACTGATACAGGAAAATCATTACTAAACATTATGAAAAATCTGTCCTTACCTCTTATCAAATAAATGCTCTTAAGTACTATTCAGTGAGGAAAATATTACTGTGAATTATAAATTAAAGGAAATTATGGACTGGAGGAGACACTTCACATTATTATATCCTTTCCATTTCTAAGAAAAGTAGTTTCCCAAAAAGGGGAAGAGTGGAGATCATCTTTACAACTGCTTATAGTTATTGTTTATTTGTTACTCTATATTCTTATTCTGCAACTGAGACATATTCAGGTGTTAAAACACTAGAGAATGTAACAGTATTTTGTAAAATGTTAAATTAGAATTACTTACGTGAATGAACCCAGCATATTTTTTGTCTATTTCCACCAACTGCTGGTCAGCTTTATTTCGCATAGAAGGCTCTGGATCTGTGCCCATAGCAATTAAGTACGGCACACACTTGAAAAATAAATGAAATGATTATTCAGAGTCATTGTACCTCCTCTTTCTTCGTCTTTGTTCTTCTGCTACACTATTCTTGTTACAGTCTGACTACTGCAGAAACTAGAATAGGAAGCTCTGCCTGAATACTTCTTGCAAGCAAATAGTACAAAACACATGAGAGACCACCATTATAAATGACAGAAGTTGTGTGAGGTTTCAGGTAGTACTTCCCTTTCTCTCAAACTCTAAAGTCAATTTACACTACAAAAAATGCCATTTAAAAAAAAAAGCCAAACAAACCAATACTTATGACTGAACACGCACAATGGCTGCATATAAAAAAATAATTACAAAAGCAGTATGTAAGCAAAGAATCATGAATATGATGACTGAAGTTCTGACATTGACTGTGGAATTCCACAGCGGTTTGAGGACATGGGGACTGAGGTGGAGGCAAGCTGACACATTTTCCATAATAAAGGATCGAATGAAGAAAACAACCTGGCATACGCCTGAAATTTGTAACAGAAATATGCTCCAATGTACATTTGTACACGCTCTTTAGGCACTGGTTGGGCTTTTACATCTTCATCCAAAAATATAAAATACAGCATTTGGAATCTCATTGGCTAAACAAAATAAAACAGATTTCCAAGTATGCTCTTTGTAAAGGTCCCTTGCTACAATAAGAAATTACTGTAACATAGCTGGAAGAGAAAAACTGGAAGTTTATGTAGCAAGTGTGAAAAACTTGGAAGACCTGAATAACAAAAACTCCCACCATAAAAGCCTACCATACCTGAACAGGATGGATGAGACCTTGGTTTAACGTCAGTGCAATGACATTTAAAGCAAAGTGGCGTACACTGGACTGGGTATGAAAGAAAGCCTCAAGGACCTGTTTGAGATACAGCTGCATGATGGAACTACTCATCCCTGAGGAAATATCACCCATTTCTTTCAGGTCTTCCTGTTTTGCTACTTTTTTCCCTGTAAAAAGGACAAAAGCAATAGCAGATTCATTACTTGATGCATGCTGGTCTTTCAGCTTTACAATACATCTGCATGTCAGCTGTCCTAAAATGGGTTTATGATCTCATGAAACCTAGAACAGTCTGATGGTAAATATACATTAAAAAACTAAAGAGACATGACTTTAATTAAAGTCTTGTTCCTCAGTAAAGGGTTTTAATTTTTAAAATTTCTTATGTTGTATTTATTATTTTCTATCTACAAATTAACCTTAGAGGAGATTTTGATAAAAAATATTACTACCATCAGTTACAGCAGTTATGCATCCCAGATTGCTTCCAGGATTTATACATCTTGAAAGTAAATAATTTACCTATTATGGATATATACACGTGCACACAATGACTTTTTGAAAATTATTCTAAGGTACTTTGGATACAATATTACTGATCAGACAACAATCTTCAGTGACTCAGTTCACATATACAGTAATTGTATGCAGGAAAGTCAGGTTTTGCATGCCTCATTAGCACAGAAGAACTCAACACTTACAGTCTCTATCTGCCTGCTGCATACGTGTATCTTCCTCCTGCAAGTAGGTCTGGAGGTTTTTTAACACCTGGATTTTTAAGTTTACTGAACAGTTCCTATCTGAAAGAATGCTGTTGTACAGAGTCTTCACTTCCTGTTCAAACATTAAACTTGGGTGTTGTATAAATGCAAATCCTAAGGGTGGAAAAAAAAAAGGAAATATTCCACGTTATTGTCATCTAGAAACTGTATTTCTGCTTTTTAAGTCTTTCTTCAAAATAGAGGTATGAAATGCATCTCGTCCCAACAGCATAGCTTGTTGTAGTCCAACCAGTACTGTTTTCTATATGGACACCATCCATAGCTTATAAGGAGTTCTGTTAGCCAAGACAGTTCTGTTAGACAAGACTCTGTTTGATGGATAAAGGTCGCGTGTTGACCCAGGGCAGCTGCACTAAGAAGAGTTCTTCAGGTCTGAAAGCACATCCAGTGTAGTGGCCTGCATCTGAAGGACTAGGAGCTCTCACAAGAACAAGGGAGGAACATTACTGAAAATTACCCGTTGTTTTTCTAATACAACTGGAGAACAACATTCTGCTGAAACTCTGAAGAGTTATTCACATGAAGGCAGAGCAAATGTGGAAAAACTGATAAATATCACAAGTATTTAAAAATAAAATCTTAAAAGAAAAAAACAAACAGAGTAAAATTTATACCACTTGCTGTCATTATTCATATGCCTATTAAGGTCTTCTCTTGAAAACTAAAAAACTATCTGAAGCGTGCCCAAGAACACCTCTGTTGGAAAATACACACTATAGAAATGTTTTTAGCTGCAGCCTTACCCTTGTCAAGAAACTGGTTGTTCTCAGTCTATATTTCATAAAACCTTTCTAAATTAGTGCCAGTATATACCATTTTAGATATAGATTTAGAAGTGCTGCTGACAAACTCTTACAGTAAGAGTATAATAAAAAACAATAATAGGAACATAACATTCCAACTGAAATTATATTTAACTGATTTTTTTTTATAAGACTGTTCAAGAACAGCAGACATTAAATGTATTTTCTATGACCACAGGAAACTAACATTCTGAATGAACACACAGAAAACATATAAAAACAAATAAAAAAAAAAAAGAGAGGGGGGGGGGGGGAAATGAAAGCAAATAAAATTATGCAAAAGTAATGTATAAAAATAGCTATAACAAACAGAAGAGTGGGTCAAGTTTCTAAAACTAGCTCCACAGACACCGAAGAGACAGCATAGGTAAAGATGAAGTCCATGGCAAAACCTCAGTGTGTTTAAGACCGCATTTCAGTCTCAAAACAAGAAGCAGAGAGAAGCAGGTGAGGTGGAGGAGAAATAGGAGAAAAAGAAAAAGGAATTATGATGGTGTTTGGAGTATGTGGTATATTCGTGTACTCTATACAGGTGTTTATTGATGTTTATAACTTGACCACCTCTGAGCAAGTCCAACCCCTTTCTTCAGGTTAATTTTAAGAACGAAAAGCACGTGCATGTATGTGTAACAACCCATAACACTTTTTTTCCTTCATGAGCTTAAAGGTTTAAAACACCAGTAGTCTCAGAGAAATTCTTATTTTTCCATCCCGGGTAAGCAGCGAAGAAATCTTACTTGGCGTAAGAATTTGTCATAGGAGATGAAAAAAGGCACCTGTTGCGTTCTTTTAAGGACTGGTATCACATCTCGGGGCTGCCCTCATGCCACTTCATTCCTTTGTTTCACTCTGTTAAGAGTCTTAAGAGTAAGCACTGAACTTGGCTGAGTAAGATCTTGCCTGTTAGATACTTACTCATTTAGCTAAATTTACTAACAAAATTTTATATCCTCAACCTGTCTTGCAGGTACATGTCTGGAAGAGAAGCATAACCATAATCATTAATTATTGGATGGAATGCACCCACGAGTGCTGAGGAAGCTGGCGGATGTCATTGCTGAGCCACTCTCCATCATCTTTGAGAGGTCCTGGAGGACAGGAGAGGTGCCCGAGGACTGGAGAAAGGCAAATGTCACTCCAATCTTCAAAAAGGGCAAGAAGGAGGACCCAGGGAACTACAGGCCAGTCAGCCTCACCTCCATCCTGGGAAAGGTGATGGAGCAGCTTATCCTGGAGGCCATCATCAAGCAAGTGGAAGAAAAGAAGGTTATCAGGAGTAGTCAGCATGGATTCACCAAGGGGAAATCATGCCTGACCAACCTGATAGCTTTCTATGATGACATGACTGGCTGGGTAGACGAAGGGAGAGCCGTGGATGTTATCTACCTTGACTTCAGCAAGGCTTTCGACACAGTCGCCCATAATATCCTCCTGGGGAAGCTGAGGAAGTGTGGGCTGGATGAGTGGTCGGTGAAGTGGATAGAGAACTGGCTGAATGGCAGAACTCAGAGGGCTGTC